AGGAAAGTTTTTCCTGCTATTTGATATATATATTATATATATATATATATATATATTTGGCTAATTTCTTGAGGTCTGGTTGATTGCAGAAAGGCAACAGTGAACCCAGGTTATGTGGGGTTTCTTTTTAATACTGCTGATATTTTTTTGTCACAGGCTCCAGTGTCACTGAATCTGATTGTAAACCTCATCACTCTGCTAAACAAATAATTCCCTCACCACTGCCGACCTATTCATTAAGGCTGCATTACTATTACTATTAGTCTTCTCTCCATTCCTATCACCCATCTCCTCCAACTTATGACTGCAGGACTGTGATGCTTGTATCCTTACTATTTGTATTGATATTGATTGTTTCCTGATTGCTTATTTGTACCCTATGACTATCATTAAGTGTTGCACCTTATGATTCTTGATGAATGTATCTTGTCTTTTTATGTACACTAACAGCATACGCACCAAAGACAAACTCCTTGTGTGTCCAATCACACTTGGCCAATAAAGAAGTCTATAAATTCTATAACATGGTTTCTTCCTCTTCCCCTCCCCGGCGCTGCCAGTGGTACATCCTGATAGCCGTCCGAGACAGGAAGAGGCGGCGCTGGCGGCGCTATCGGGGCTTCTTTGGTAGAATCGCAGCTGATGCAGTAAGATGGCAGCGTCTTTTAATGTCGCCGTTGCTGGGGGCAGTCCGGAGGGCGCTGTCGCCGGGATTTTCGGGCTGGGTTGGAGGGACTGCGTTCAGCACTACTATGGGTTGGCCTTGAGAAGTGCTCGGAGCGTGAGTGTGGGGGGACAAAGGGGGCCGATTGGGAAACAATGTGGAACGAGGGTCGATCGGCCCTTGGCCGAAGCTAACCTGCCGAGTTCCCTGGGATTTGGCGCAACTTCTATCAGACGCTCAATTTCTAGGAGTAGGAGGACGGAACGATACGTGGCTGCTGTGTGCTGCAGCTTTCAACATCGCGCGGCCCTAGTTCCTCATAGGAGACGGTGGCCGTTGTTCTGCAAGGATAAGGACATTTCCCCATATTCTGCTGTTGTTCCTGGTTTCTGTGATAAAGACCAGATTCAAACGAAGCCTCCAAAGCTAGGGAAAAATGTCCCCGCTGTGTTGAGTCCTGTTCTTTCAGTAGTTGCATGAGGCAGTAATTCGGATGAAACTTCCATATCGCTAAAGCTTGGCGTTACGAATTGTAGGTAAAGGCACGTTATTCTTGCTAGAAAAATAGAAAAGTTCAGCCTCTTTGCAGGTCTGTAGAATTGTTCCTGTCTTTTGTTTAGCTATACATATTAATAATAACAATATAATAATTATTATTGTTATTTATTGTCAGTGTATATGTACAATGAGATTGGTTGAGCTCCCAAGGCCCAGTAACTTTATGAGGCTGGTGGCTTTGGAAAATTAATGATGGGAACCAAGTACAGTATACCTGGAGGACTTTAGGTTAGGCAATGCTGGGCATGACTAATTGAAATGGGCATTATAAACCAGACCTTTGCACAATGTTAGTGATGAAACTTGGATGTTTGAGCTGTGTTGAGAATAGATAAGGAGGTCCAGGTTCAAGACCTTGTTATTTGAGATACTGGTTTTCTAACCAGCCACAGCAATTGAACAGAGTGGTGGTGATGCTTCAGATCCCTTTAGTTAAAACAATATCATTTAGGCAGTGTGTTTTCTCTGGTGCAGTAGATACCCTCTGGAATGGCATCCTCCTGCTCCGTGGTTCCCACCCTATAGCTTTCTGGAGGCTGTTAAAACTGGCTGTGATCTCTGACTTGAGCTAGCATGGATACCAAACTTTTGCTAGTTTTAGCTGCTCTGGGGTATGTTTAGCTGTTGCGCTCTTCCAGATTAAATTTTTTTTTAATTGTAAGCCACCCAGAATCTTTTGGAGTTGGTCAGTTTCCAAGTCTCCAAATTGAATAAAGATTTGTCTTTCAGTGTACTGTAGTATTGAGGTCACATGAGGTGAAGATTATAATTTGTTTGGCATAAAGTCTACTGCAGGAATTATTGTGTAACTAATAAAACATTAATTAGCTGTACCTTTAAAAATCAGGATTTGCACAGGTGTACTCTGATTACCAGTATGTGTATAAAACAGGGAAACCATACCTGTCACTTTTGTTGATGACTTGTGGCAGGATCTGAATGGAGACATTCTGTTCCTACTGGATTTATTAGTGGGGTTCAGTACCATTAATTGCAGTATCCTTCTGGACTGCTTGCAATAGTTGGAGAAAATATTTTGCAATGGCTCTACTCCTTCTGAGCAGGCATTTCAAACTGGGGCGGAAGATGAAGAAAGAGTTGAGGCCACTTCCCTTCTTTTTTAAAAAAAGAAAAATCTTTTTAAAAATCTGCTGGGGGCAATCATCTGTCAGTTTGGGTTAAGGTGTCATCAGTTTACCATCACCCAGGGCCAAGCAGGAGATGGATGGAAATACTGACCAAATGCTTAGAAATTGTGGGTAACTGGAGGAGACACTCAGGCTAAAGTTGAATCTTAGCAAGATGGATTTTCTGTTTGCATAGAAGTCCTCTGACTCTAGATTAGTTATATCCATTATTCCATATGGACTGAACATCTGAAGATGCAGGTGTACACTGTGGAAGTTTTTCTGATCTCATAATACCTGCTAGATCAGCAGGTAGATGCTGTAGCCAGAACAGCCTTTGCCCAACTTTGGTACTGTACTGAAGTTAATTGTGAGTTGTTATTACAGTGGTACAACAATGTTATATGACAGCCCTATGAGCAATGAGACCCCCAATGTAATATTCTGATTAGAGGCTGAATTCCACATATTGATTACAGTTATCAGCCAAATCCTTGGTTTGAGGCTCCTAGCAGAATTCTCCTTAGCATCTTTCATTATTCAGCAATTTTGCCTTAGCACTGATTGAAGCACTGAAAATAGGCAAATTTATAATGTTAACTTTCTCTTTAGCTGTATTTCTCATTTTGTCTATAACATTTTCTGGACATCATTTGTGACAAAAGGTGAAAGTGGACTAATAGCATAATCTGTTGCATGTTTAATTAGGTTAGTTTGATTTACTTGTTAAAGTTGTTTAGAATTGCAGTTTATGACCATATATTTTTTTGCACCTTATCTGTAAGCTCCTTATAGATTTATATTGGAGTAAAGAAATATTAGGTTCACTTACTTTACTATATGATTGTTATTTGAGATATCATTTCTCAAGTCATTAGTATTTATTTGCCAGCATATATTCAACAAATTTGAAATACAGAGTTTCTGATAATAGTATAGTCACTTCCAGAAAATAAAGAAAAGTAAACACTATGATTCAATTGATAAACAGTACTTGGTATTTATTTGTATAATTGCCCTGATTAATGTAATGTAACTATTCCCTTTCCCCTTTTATGTTTATTATGCATTTTAAGTGGGGAACATTTTATTAAATGCTGTAATTATGAATTAATATGATCAAAATATGGAAATTGTGTTAACAATTGTTCTGTCAGGCTTTAACTTTGTTTTCCTTCTTTAAAGGTTGTCTCATCACTCCCTGAAAATATGAGACCTGGTCCCGATCTCTTTGGGTTTTCATGGGAAATTGTTATAGTTGCCATATTTACTATTTTACTGTTCTTATGCAGGATGTATAAGTCAGTAAGTATGCAGTGTGGCATTAAATTGGAATTCTGTAAAATCATTCTGCTAAGCATCTAGCTAGAACAGATTTTTATACCATGTTCCTATGCATGCTTATTTGCCAGTAGGTCAATTTATGGATAGTTAAGTTTAAGACTGCAACCCTAAATTGTTACATAGAATCAGGAGGATGATCCTCTCTTCAATCAGAATATGTATTGAAATATTTTAAAAAAATAAAATTAAGCTCAATAAATTTTGAGACTTATTAGCACATTTTATTTTCTTTGACTAAACTTCCTTTGGAATATTTAACACAGCATAATTTGACATAATTTGTATATAAGAACAGCACTTTGCAAAATGTAAATTATAATAAAGAATATAAACTCTTTTCCCTTCTTACTTAAACTAGCTTTTTGTAAAATCTCTTGTCTTGTGAGATGATGATTATACAAGCTTTCTTTCCTTGTCCTGTTTAAATATTTTGGTAAACATCCCATTGTAACTTAAAGCATTATACAAAATTTACTTTACTCTTTGCTTATACATTTTATACATAATACAACTATGGACAAACTTTGCCACATTTCAGAATTACCTCCCTTTGGGAAATGCTTGTAATTTTAAGCCAACTTGGTTTGATTTATTTATTTGATTTCTATAACTGCCCACCTCAACAGGAAAATATCATAAAACATAAAAACAGTTTTAAAAATTAAGATAATTAGGCCAGGAGTCCCCGGGCCATAGCCCACTACCCGTTCTTGAGCTGTTTGGGACCAGGTCATGGAAGTGGTGGGTAAGTGTGTGTGTGCATCCCCAGTTGCACAAGCAGCATGTGAGTGCATGTATGTGCTCGTGTGCCTGCTGCTTGTACAAATGGATCTGTGCATGCATCCACTGTTCATGCGGATCTATCCCTTCTCTTCCCCCTCCCTGTCAGTGCAAAGCCAGAAAGGTTGGGGAACTCTGAATTAGACAATACAAAATAAATATATATATAGTATCAGGCCTGGGTACATAATCAAGTCTTCATGGCCTGGCAAAAAAAACATGAAAACTACCACCTCCCCACAAAAGTGGAGATTGGACATTAGACAAAAGCTATCTAGATTGGTTGGATCAAGTGATGGCCTTTTCAGGAGAAGACACATCACTGCCTCCTTACGAGCCAAAGGAATCATTTCTTCCTTCAAAGAGTTATTAGTTAAGACCCAGACCCAATCACCTGTCCCCTCCCAGGCTATCTTAACCAACCAGAAGGGACATTGATCTAATACAGAGGTGGCCGAACTAGCAGCCACAAGAGCCCTGTCCACTTCCTCAAGTTCAGCAGGACCAAACTCACCTCAAATACTCTTGCAAGACTTCATTCTTGTAGCTTGTACTTGCACTGCCTTAAAGTTCAACATAGAATGAATGCAAGCAACTTTATCCGCTAAGTACACAGCATATCCTCACAGCAACCCTGCAAGTAAGTTCCAGTATTGTTCTCTTCAGGGAAGGACCCTGTCATCCAAAATAGAGCTCCTGGCAACTATCTGCAGATGCAATAGGAACAAAGAAAGAATCATGTTTCATACCTTTATCACATGAGATAGGTTCTAATAATGGCTATACCTTATGTTTGATCATCTTCAGTTCCCATCATTTTCCAGCAGTACTCTAGGTATTTTTTATCCCACTTTAACTTCCTCACCTTCTCCATATACTATGAGGAATGGTGGAACTGTGGGAACAGAGTAGTGGTGGGTTGTCAATTTTTTTTATACTGGTTTGAGTGCGCTCCTGTGCATGCTCGTGATGCTTCTGCACATGCGGAGAAGCGTCTGGGCGGGTTTGCAGAGCCTCCCACTGCCACTACTATGGGTTCGCCCAATCCGGGTCGAACTGGGAGCAATCCACCTCTGGAACAGAGGCTGCACAGGCTCAGTCCAAGACAAGACAATGGCCACTCTCCTATTCTACTTGGGAGCAAAAGATAAAAATTACATGTTTTCTTCTCTGATTAGTCTATCTAACTTCACTTAAGGAATTTACTTTCAGTGCTATTCACTTTGCTTAAGACTAAGGTTAAAAACTTTAGCTAATTGGATGAATATGGTTAGCTTTAATCTTGTTTTATTTCACCTAATGTCTTATGATCGAAGAAAAGACATTCTAGGAAAAACATATTATTCCACCCATTTTAGATTTTTTATCTAATTAGTATAAGGTATATGTTATGCTTGCTACAAGACCAAAAATCTACTTTATTTTTATTACACTACACTAATCCTAAAACTTAAATTGAAAATTGAGTTTAAATCTCATCTGATATTGTGAACCTACTAATATTTGCTCTTTTATTTCTTTGCAGGTTGAAAGTAGACGTTATTTAGGTAAGTTAATTTATTTTCCATGGGTTAAGCCTTGTAGATGATGTTGGAGCTATTTTCTGTTAAAGATTATAATACTCAACTCTTCCTTTTTTTTAGAAAGAGAGAAGAAGCTTGCCAATAATATTGCTGAACTAATTGAAGAACGATGTAAATTAATTGATAAACTAAGTCTCCACAAAAAAGAGGTAATTTCAGTTACTTCACCGTTTAAATGTGAGCAAATAAGTATGGAAGGATAGGCAATCTATGGGCTTCACTATCAGAAGTTGTTAGCAAAATGGGCAAATATGATGATGCCTTTTTTCCTAAAATAAGGATTGAGATGAAAACAACAGAATGATTTTGGCCTAAACCACTTAGTGGTCGAGAGATTTAAGGATCAGAATTAGAATAGCTTGCTTGTTCCCATTCTTTTACATTTCCTCAAGCCCAGTTTAAAAAGAGCGCTAAAGAATCTCACTCTTTTTGGTAACATCACTATAAGGTCTACTGCTCTAGTCAGAGCAGTAATTATTTACATACAACTTAGTAGAGAAGTTGCTATCTCTGTGATTGGGATAACAAGTTATCCGTATATTCCCATACACTTTTTTTCCCCCAGTGAGGCTTATTTCAATGAGGCTTCTTCCTTGTTAGTATGTTTAAGCTCCAATGTGTATTTATTGGGAGTTAAGATTTCTTAAACACAGGAAGTCATACCTTAAGAAAATTTGAAATACTGAATGATTCCTAGCAAAAGTCTTAACTTCCTCTAAATAAACATTGTGCAGTAATTTCAATTAAGGTGTGATAGATTTGAACATCCCTTTTAACAAAGAACAAGAATTTCAATTTTATCAATTCGTGGTCGTCATACTTATCCCAATTATTGTGTTTTTAGATTAAATTTCTGGGAAAACAGTATGATTTGACTCTTTACTTTAGGTCAGTTCTATGGTTTCATTGTATTAGCAAACTATTTCTAAGCTATGACAAAGGTGCTGAATATCTATAGAGATTAACTTTTGACTTAAGAAAATGAGGTATTTTCTTTCTTTTCCTTTTCCTAGTAATTAATGCTTCCCCACTTTTTCTCTTTTACATAACTTCATTAGCCAGGATAGCAGTAAGAATGCTCTTTGGTATATGTATTCTTCATTAACAAAAATGCTGAAATGGAGAACAATATGCTTCTATCCAAATATAAAATGTGTAAGAATGTTTAATTCTCTCACAGCACATGAGTGATTACTCTGCCAAAAGGAATGAATTAATTAACATTAATCAGGTTTTGCTGGCCTCTAGAACCAAGATCTTAATGAATAGAAAACGCTAAGTCTCTTTTATAATTTCATCCTGCATTTGACAGGGTAAAGAATATAAGGAATTTAAGAGGGGCATTCACTCAGACTTTATCATTATAAATTTTAATTGTATCTTGTCTATAATAGTATCCATTTTAATCACTGAAATCTGATGCATTCTTGACTCATTAAATCAAATACTTTTCATGTACATTTTACATCAGAAGGGCACTTAAAACCAAATTTGCCTTCAGGGATGATGTGGGAGGAGCGGTTTTCCTGAAGAAACTAAAAATAGTTAAATATTTTATTTGAAATGTGGTTTTCATACTACAATATTTCCCTAACATGCTATTCTTGAAAGAAAACCATGGCTTATAATTTTAATAACATTATTCAATATGTACAATGTCTTTTTAGTGGCTTGAAAATGATTAAACTTGAAATGATAAACAGTTTAGACCAGTTTTTCTGAGAATTTATTAGAAACTGATAGTTTTTGTGCTAAATAATTTTTCATTTGTGCAATCTCAGATTGCTTTTGGATCAGTCTGTGTCATTAAAAAGAATTAAATTATTTTGAACCATTGGAATAAAATGGGAAGTGCTGCTGTTATTTCCTTCTTTGTTTCAAATTTAACACGATACTCTTGTTTTAGTATGCAGAGTTAGAAAACACTCTGAAAGATGGCAGCTTTCTACAGGAGTCAACCATTGCATCAAATATTAAGGTAAAGTTGGAAGAGAGAGAACTATTAGTTGGGTATTCTGGTTTCTGGTTCAAATGTAACTATGCAGGTTTATTCAATAGTCCCTTAATATTTATTTGTGCTTACAACTAAGAAGTTGTGGGTGGAATTCCAATCCCACATAATACAATTAATGATACTATGCTCATTAGCTCTTGCTTGAGCATCATAATCAAATTAAGTTTTTCTCGTTTAAAGATAAAATCTAGAATGTTGAAAATTATAGCATTTCTAGCAAATAAGATTGAGGAAAAAATTTGAGCCATTTCAAAATAAATAAAGGAGCTTAAGCCATATGTAAGGTGTTCAGGAAATGGATTATTAATATTCTCTAATATTAAAGGTCTAATTTACTATAGGTTTCTGAAATAGAATTACACTATAAATTAAGCAAGCTTGTACATAACTCAGGAGTCAATTTAGATAATTTGACTAGATACTCTTGAATTAACCTTTGTCACTTTTATGACCTATGTATACAGCTTGATAAATTTGCATTAGGTTATATTCTATTTATGGAGCTGCTCCAAATTTGTGATGATTAATTATAGCTAAAAGTTTTTAATAGCTATTGTGTTCTAGATCACATATACTTCTGAATTTCATCATGTTTTAAAACTTGGTATTTTAGATAGAGTATGAAAAACTGAACAGTTCAAACTTGGCACTCAATAATGAAATAGAACATTTAGAAAAAGAATTGAAAGAAGAGAAATCTAAACAATCAGAACAGGATGATTTGGTAAGTCTTCTATACAAAGCAAACTGAGGCAAAAATATTATGATACAATTTGTCTATATCTTATAACTAATATTAAAAAAGTGGATATCTCATGGCACAGACATTTTGAGTTGGCAGTATTAATCACATTGAAGAAAGTTTTATGTAAAATAATGTTTAATGTTTTTGTAGATGGCTGAAATACACAAAAGAAAGACATCTTTAGAAAATGAAGCAAAATCTATCCAGTTTCAAGTAGCTGAGGTAAGGCAGTATTTAACTTGATGTTTGTATGGGCAAGTGGGCATGCTTCAAAACATTGCATTTGACAGTGCTCTTTCTCTTTCTCTAAAAAGTGATGTGGCTGATTGAGGAGCCAGTAGCATCCTTAGAAATAAAGCTGACTCTGGATGTTGATATCTAGCAACTTGTTAATTTCCTATTTAACTTAAAACTAAACTAGCACACGCTAGTTTTCTTTTCTTTTTTTTTCTTTTTTCGTTTCTGTTATAATTTTGCACCAGTGAGGTTAAAACCAATTTCGTTGTATTTAAGTACAATGACAATAAAGATTATACTTGTACTTATACTTAATGTAAAAGATCAGACAGGAAAGCTGAGCTTGACTGCCAATAAGATACATTGTATTCTACATATAAGTAAGATGCTTATTGATTTAAGGAAGGTGCTACAAAACAGTTAAATAAATGAATAAATTGATTCATGCAGCTTAATGTGATCTCCATATCATTTAGGCCAAAACCACACTAAAAGTATATGAAATTAACAGAGAGAGATTGAAGACATCATTGCAAGATGCAATAGAGGAAAATAGACATCTTCATGAAAGTGAAAAACAAGTATGTACTTTCCACTGACTCAATACATACTTAGATTTTTATTCTTTAACCTGTTAAATATTGTAAGAAAAAGAAGAAATTCGTCCAAAGGAAGTAGGTTTCATAGAGCTTCTGCTTTTATAAGTAATTAAAATTTGAGACTTTACTTTTTAGCAGATAAATTTATTCAATACTGATGAAAAAAGCCCATTGTAAAGCCATTTATAATCTATCTGGTGGATTACTGGGCCAGTTGAAAGTGGAAAGAAGATCATGTGTAGAAAACGGAGTGAGGGAGACAAGGGTAACATAATGTCTCTACGCTCCTAACTCAGCTTTTACTATTCAGTTTGTTTTTTGTTTGATTTGTATCATATTTCTTTGATATAATATAGTGATTTTTGCAAACTTCCCTCTCTAGTTATTACAAGAAGTTGAAGGTTGGAATGAACGATTTAATGAACTAAATGAGCAGATAAAAATGTATGAATCATCTCAAGCAAATCTAGAGGAAGCTCTTAAAGATAAAGAAAGTCAAGTCAAGGTACACATATTTCTGTTTTTTTTAGCATTGAGAGGTCTAGCAAAGAAAATTATAGAGATTGTTTTCAGAAAACATATTCACCAGATTTTAAGGTAAATGCAAGAGACTCTTTCAGAAATCAAATAAACCACTGCTAGTTAGAGATTTGTGATGCCTAATAAGGAGAAAATACTTTCATGCTTTGGCTTCTGTTTTAAAATCTTCATTGAATGGAAATTGAAATTTGTCTCCCATTGTGTAAATTCATTTTTGCTAAAGTTTACAGGGTCCTGACTTCCTACAGTAGTGCCTAAAACTTTTTTTCTCTCTTGGAAGAAGTTGTCAAATGAAGATTCACAATACCCATAAAAGTTTGGTTTGAGCATGAAACCTATTACCTTGATATTTGTTTAATATAGAGTCTAAGATTCATTAATTCCCTCTATTTATTCTAAAATACTACTTAGTCTCTGACAGACTGCCTCTTAAGGATGAAAGAATGGAGCTGTGCCACAGGAGAGCATGATTCTATGGGTGACAACCACAAGGATAATGATATAAAGAATGAAACAGAAAATGAGCAGCACTTGGGTAAAAATATTTTCTGATTTCAGATAGGAAACCACTGTCATTATAAATTTTGTCTTCAAAAAGAAATAAATTATAAAGCATGCTTGTAGAGAATAGCCTATTTCATTCAAGTCAAAATGTTTTTTCTCCAAAAGCTTTATATTAGTATATTTTGGATTTCTCAGGGCTATACAATTTTAAGATCAGAATAGTTTTTCTCAACATCATCCTTTGAAGTAAGATTAAAAGCAACAGTAAAAATAAGTCTTTGGATGTCCTGTCTTCTCACACATATACCCCAACTCCTTGAGAACTGAGAAATTCTGTTGCTTCTCAGAAGCTTAATAAATAAATCCTTGCTAACTCCTGCATTCCTGTTTAAAGGCACATTAAAATGTTAAAGGAAAGGACAAAAAGAATATTTGTAATGCTAGTGTTATTTTCATAAATCCAAGATTATTTCTCTGAGTTTTACTTTTTCCTCTCAATTTCTTAACCAGATGTTCCAGAAAAAGAAACAGTAAAGAAGCTAATTTATGCTGCGAAGGTAATTTGATAATACTGTGAAGTTTTAATTATTTTAAAATCTGTAAAGATTAACGTGTAAAAAAAGCTATTTGGACCATGAGAAAATATTTTATACATCAGGATGTTAATGAAATAAACATTTAAGCAATTTTAAGAAGTTACTTAAACCTTATGGATTGATTCCAGAATTACAAAAGCTATTTGCTAAAAAAATTGACAATCAGTTAATCTCCATTTAGGAAAGGAGCTAAGAAGAAAATTTCCCTCATTCAAGGTCCTTGAAAAGATGTTCTTAAGATTTGGGAATTTCCATTACAACTAGGAAGGGCACTACAACTGTAGGCTACCTAATATAGTAGAAGTTCCCAACTCCTAAGACCAACTTTTCAAGAACCTTTGGGAGGAATTATAATTGTCAACATTTCCCTCCATTCTCCTTCAGCAAAAATATCACATGAATAGAGCTGTGGATTCAGGCCAATTTTTAAATAGTATATTTAGAAACAAAACTATATATTGATCACATTTCATTGAAGAATGTTCCCTGCACTTGTAAATGACAGTACAGACAGAAAATAATATGATGTTTGTTCTAGAGTTGCAAATGTATTCTTTTCTAGCAGTAATGATCTTACCTAGTTTATCTTTCTTCATTGTGTAGCTAAATGCTCATTTAAAATCTGCGGAAACAGAAAGGAATCAAATATATTCAAAGTTAGGTGATGAAAAGAAAGCAAAAGAGGAACTTGCAGGTACAGTAATCACATTTTTTATAGATTTTCAAATCAGCAAGAAAGCAAGCTGAATATGCTATTTTTAAAATGAAGGTTTTGGAAAGTGATACTTTAGAAAAAATAATTAAATTCTTAGTTGTTTCGTCCTTCCCTAAATCTGCTTATGCATGCACTGAGTACTGTATTTTTTGGACTATAAGATGCACTCTTTTCCCCCAAAAAAAGAGGGTGAAAATCTGGGTGCATCTTATACACTGAATACAGCATTTTTGACCTCCCCAAACGCTGCCCCGCGCATCCCATTTTTTTCAAAAATGGACGTGCAAAGGGTTTGCGAGGGCTGTAGGCTCCTGGAGGCTGGAGAGGGCAAAAACGAGTGAAAAGGCTCCTGTTTTTCACAAAAATGGACGTGTTTTTGTCCTCCCAAGCCCCCAGGAGCACTCTGCAGGCCTTCCAAACTCTCTGCATATCCCGCTTTTCACAAAAAACGGGGCATACAGAGCGTTTGGGAGGCATGCAGAGTGTTTCTGGTGGCTGGGAAGGGCAAAAACTTTTTAAAAAAATTATACCTCTTCAAAATCTTGGTGTGTCTTATACTCCAATGCGTCTTATGGTCTGAAAAATACGGTAAATTGCAGATGAAAAGTAAATCCCTTTGTATGACTGGACATGCTGGATTTAGCTTTTTATAATAGCAGTTTTATTTAGATAATTAGGTATCTTTTAAATGAGAGTTATTCTCTGAGGTAAGATATTTTAAACAATTTCTCAGTTCTCATAAGGTGAAAGAATCTAAATTTTAATGATTTTTTAAAACACTATCCCACACAGATTATTTAAAAAAGTGTTGTCATCTGCTCTAACTTTAGTGAAAATTTTTCCAGGTTGTTGTCTAGTTTTTCTTTCCTTTTGCCTTTTTTGGGGGGGTCACCCCAAAATCTTAATGGTAACTTCAGAATTGATAAAAATGGAATCATGAATATCATTATATTTTGTTATGGGAGTGAATGTGTAAACACTGAAGCTAATAAAAGATAGCCTAAAACATTAAGGCAGA